CGCCGGCCGCAAGCCCAGGGCCACCACGGCCACAGAGCCCAGCCGGGTAAAACACCCGCACCTAGACACTGTCTCTTTAACACACCCCACTGGGGCTGGAAAGGGGATGGCACAGTCCGCCCACGGCGCGCGCCTATAGGCCAGCTGCGAGACATGCTTCTTTCCGATTGGTTGTGCATGACCACTGAGTCATTTTATTGGTGGGCCCCTCTCCGGGCTGAGCAGGACGGTGGTGCGTGATCAGGGCCACTCCACCAATCGGGAGACACCAGAGTGCACGTGCACAGGCAGTTTATTGGAGGGCGCAAGGCACAGTCCTGGGCCACAGACCAATAGTCAAGCAGTGCGCCCATGTGGACAGAGGATGGGAAACAATATCTGTCAGGGAGGGGGAGGAACCGGGCTCACAGGCGCTCCGTTGTCAGTCGTTGCTATGGTTACATTGGGGGCGGGCTTTCCAGCTGAGAGAGGCTGGAGTACAGGTTTCTGAGTTCCTACTAGAACGTGAACTTGGGTCTGCAGCAGGCATGGTGTTTAAGATTACGTTTGCAGCTCGCGCAATGAAAGGTTTCCTGGAAAATGAGGCTCAGCAGTCTCACTTCAGGATGACCGCCCTGGAACTTTAAAGCACAGATCAGAATCTACCACCTTCCCTGATTCTGAGCCTGACCTTTATGGCTCTCAGAATTCCAGTACCAGGTGACAGCCGAAGTATAGGAAGAATACTGAGGTTCTAAACACCCTTGCCCTGAGGAGTTCTGTTCCCGGCCTCTGAAGTCCTGCCAGGCTCAGACCCTGATTCTTCTGACTGTAAATAAGTTTACAGTTTTAAAACAGCACCTGCCACTTGCCGATGCTGGTGTAAACAACAGGACTCCATTACTGACTGAATAACACTGTTTGATCATTACACTTAGATACATACATAAATTGTAAAATGTACAAATATTATGTCTGGAAAGAAAGACCTGACACACAAGTGTCCCACCTAAAAGGATTTTGTAACCTCAGGATCATAGTCCTCAAACATGCCCAGCTGTTTCCCTGACATGTTCCTCAAACTTGCAGCTCTTCTTGCTGGTTTCTTTTAAATCTTGTTGTTCTAGATTTCATTTGCTATCAAGCATATTTAGGCAGTGGTAATTATTTGTTCAACATTTTGTAATCTTTTATATCCCCTCCTTGTCAAAATTCTGTATATAAACTGTTATAAAGGATTAAAAATTGAAACTGAAGGATTTTTTTTACCAAATGTATTTTTCAAGGATCTTAAAGGTTGTTCTACTGCCCTCTTTTGAGTTTAGATTATCAACACGGAACTTTTTATTGTCTTGTATTTATTTATTTGTACAATATTTTATTAATTCTTGGAGAAGTTCATATGTGTGTGCATTATATTTTGCTCATATTTTATTCCCATTATGCCCTTCACTCCATCCAAATCCATACCAATTTCTACATTTTTTTCAAAATTTTTGATTTTATTTAAAATTTTATTTGCCCTTACATATCACAGCAAGTGCAGTGTGTGCTGCTCATAGACTCATACAAGGCCATCCACTGGTGCATGGCTGAGCTACCAGGAGCCACACCCGTAGAGAAGACTGTAATGTTAATAAGACTTTACAGAGTTCGAAGAGTTCTTGTCTCTTCTCAAAGAAAGTGAAAAGGGCCATGAATCCACCCCTGACTAGAGCCCTGAAATAACCCTGGGTTTCTGATAAATGTGTTTCTAATGGTCCCTGCTGACTTTCCTTCACAACACAGCTTGATCTTAAATGTGCATTTGCATGGTATTTATCACTTCAACTGAGGACAAAGACTTTGTTCTCATACATTATTTTTTAACCTTTGTTATCTAACACAGAAACATGCAATACGTGCTCATTAATGTGTGTTGACACACTAAACAATGAATCCAACCCATGCAGTATCGCTGGTTCTGCAATAGATGAATAGTACTGCACCTCATACTGGGCTTCCAGTGGCTGGAGGGAGATGTTTTCTTCCAAATCAAGTGACTAAGAAATGGGTGAAAGGGCAATGAAATTCACAAATTGATGCAACACAGAATTTCAGACACAGCATCCTGCTGTGCTAGCAGAGGCCAGGCTCTCTCTGTCAGTTTTTTGTTTGTTTGTTTGGTTTTGGAGACCCAACTCAAGATCTTTTGCAAAGGAGGCAAGTTATCTCTCACTAAGCTACATCTCCAACCTTTAGGTTTTAGGGGCAGGGTTTCTATGTAGATCTGGGCAGTCTACCTGTCCAGCCTGCCTCTGTCTCCTAAGTGCTGGATTTATAAGCATGAGACATTGTGCCAGTAATGGTTTTAGGCAGCAGAATGAGTCAGCAACAGAAGCATAACAAATATATTTCTTGGGCTGGTAAATTGACTCATCTAGTAAAGGCACTTGCATGAAACTGATCCATAGGACATACAGGTTGGAAGGAGAGGACTACTCCTTCAAGTTGTCCTCTGAACTCCACATATGTGCCATTGTGTGTGTGTGTGCTTATATGAATGTATATGTATGTGTCATTGATATTTCTTTTGGGATGTGCCTATCCTAACCGTTTGACCTTTTATTGATTGGGTTATGTTTTCTATGCTCTGTTGTTTGAATTTTTATATATATTCTGGATCTTAGTCCCTGGTCAGCAGACTAACTAGCCAAGGCCATGGTATAGGATGTCTCTCGGCTTGAGAAACTATTTCTTGTGCAGAAGCTTTTTAATGGCATGCAATTCTCAATGTCATCGTTTGAATGTGAGGTCAGGAGGCAGAGGCAGGTGGATCTCTGTGAGTTGGAGGTCAGTCTGGTCTACAGAGCAAGTTCCAGGACAGGCTCCAAAGCTACACAGAGAAACCCTGACTCAAAAAAAAAATCAAAACAAAAAATTTTTCTGATACGTTTTCTTTCAGTGACATCAAAGTTTCAAGTTTATATTAAGATCTTTGATTTGAAATCTTCATCTTCTAGTGTCCTTTTCTAATTCATTCTCCAATAGTTTATTGAGGTCTTTCACCTCTTTGGTTGATTTCAGCCTATGTATTTCATTGTCTTTTGAAGGCTACTGTGGTTGTTTTTCCTGATTTCCTGATTTCTCTCTCAGTGTGTTCATTATTGGCACACAAAAAATATTGGGGTTTTTTGTATACAGATTTTTTTCTCTTGTTAACTTTCTGAAAATATCTATCAGATCCAAGTGTTTCCTGCTTGTCTGTAGAATTCTGTTAAGTGAAGGTTCATGGCACCTGAAAAGAAAGCTTTGACTCATTGTTTTCCAAGTTGTGACCCTTTCTTCCGTCCGTCCTTTCTTTCTTTCTTTCTTTCTTTCTTTCTTTCTTTCTTTCTTTCTTTCTTTCTTTCTTTTTCATGTTTTATTGTTGTGACCCACTCCTACTCCACTCAGGAGAAATGAACTCACCCCTCATCACAGACACTTGAAAGGTGGCCCAGATGGCTTGTGCATAGGAGAGTTAACTCTACCCCTTGCACCTCCCAGTGGATCAGACTGACCATCTTGGCTAACACCCAAGCCCACATCCTGAGACTTGGCTTGGCCCACCCTAACACCTACCCCATCTATGACCTGCTGGAGTATATGAAGGGCTTGGTCCTACTACACGATAGCTGCAGGACTTCCATGACTGGGGCAACAACTAGATATCAAAGAGGACTTTCCATGATGGTCCAGTGATGACAGTGTGCCAGAAGCCACAGGCCAATGACTCATTGCAATGAACATTTGTGGGTGGGGCTGATGGACAAAAGGGTATACTTCGTGACACATCTCAGCTCCCAAAGCCACTAGAACAAATGAAGAAGTTGTGGAGCGGAGGGATAGATGGAGGAGCGAAGTTAGTTTTTGTTTTGTTTTTTTATTAATGGGGGGGGATTTCTTTTGTGTGTGGGGGAAGTGTCCAGAGTAAGGGGTGGATATGAAGGGATTGGGAGGTGCGTGAGACTAGGGTGCATGATGTGAAATTCCCAAAGAACCAATAAAGAAATCATCATCATCATCATCATCATCATCATCATCATCATCATCATTATTATTATATTTTAGTTTTTTGATACAGGGTTTGTCTATGTAACAGCCCTGACTGCCCTCGAACTCACTCTGTAGGCCAGGCTGGTCTCAAACTCACAGAGGTCCTCCTGTCTCTGCCTCCCAAGTGCTGGGATTAAATTGGCCACCATCAACTGGCCAATTATGAAGAAGAAAAAAGAAAGAAAGAAAAGAAAGAAAGCACAAAAAGAAAGCAATCAAAGACTTCAAGCTCTGTATCAATGCAAGTGTAGGAGTAGATATATTTGTCTCACTCATTGTCTTAGATCAAATTCTTTGAGTTCTCTTCATTTAGTATAATGTTGGCTCTTGGTTTTTGATGGATAGCACACATATGAAGCCAAGGGTCAATGTTGTTCCTTTCAGAGCACCTTATGTTTCGAGGGAGGACCTTTTATAGAAAGTGGAACTATCCACTTCAACAAGCTGGAGCCTGGAGCCAGCAAGCTCCAGGAATCCCCCATCTCTAACTCCTTGGATTTTTTTGTGTATATTTTTAGTTGGTTATATACATAATATATATGTATATTAGTTGATTTTTGTATATAATTTTTAGTTTCTCTTGATGTTCATTTTTAATTTTATTCCATTATGATGTGTTAAGACACAAGAAATTATTTCAATTTTATTTTATAAGAAAGGGGATAGTTAAGTAAAAGTGGTAGTGGATCCTCATTACTTCCCTTCATCTGGGAATGTTTTTCTTTGCTAATGTTGCTGATGGATGTTTTAACTGGAGATAGAATTGTGGGTTGGCTGGTCTCCCAACACTATCTGGCTG